TATATATATGAAACTGATAAACTGAATTTCTGATTTCCCAAAATGAAGCCTGCTAACCTTCAGCAAAAACTATTAGAAATTCTTCTCATTATTGCTCATAGTCACCAGTATGACCCAAATGGTGTACAGTTCCAGCCGAGATTCTTTCCGGTGTAAACCAAGTGCACATGGTCCTGCACATATAAGAAATGAGGAGGAAGAGAGATGAAGGTCCATTTGTTGGTTATCAACAAATATTTAATGACTCTTCTGATTACAGTGAAACTAAATCAAACTAAGTGAAGTAGACAAACAAGAGTTATTTAAGTGCATCTGAAATACAAAAAGAAATATCTGGCAGCATACATGTTCCTTAACTTAAATTATTAAATACAGAGAAGATTTGGATAAAATGTAAAACCTGGTTTTAAACATATTAGTTATTTTTTGTTTAATAAATCATTACATACAAATTAATTTCAGTTATATGAACAGTAACTTTAGTATAACAACAGACAAGAAGAACCATAATTCATGATAATAGTGACCTGACTAGCCAGAACCACATGCTTTGACAAAACTGCACAAAGATGAATAGATCTGGAGCCATAGCCTGTCTCATAGATTTCAGGTAGGCATGATTGTCAGGTGGATTATCCAAAGAGACACACCGTCCAATTGGAAAAAAAAAAAAAAAAAAAAAACACACACATGGCAGTTTACATGTAAAAAGGGGGAAAACATAAAGGACTGAAATAGCTTTTTATCCTCAGTGTTGTGAAAATGTTGGAGAGGAGATGAAGGAGATATCTTCCATATTTGAGAGACATATGTTTGTAGCACTCGTCAGTTCTGCTATCAAATAACACCAGTCACCAGTCTGAGATCATCTACATGCTGCCAGATATGTCACCCAGTAGATTTCTAAAGTCTCTGCTCAACAGTTTGCTCTCACCACTCACTCACATAGATAACATGTGACTTCACTTCAGTCTGGAACATTTCCAAGAGCTTTAAAAACCATGGTCAACAAGCCTCTCCTAAAGAAGAGCAGTCTTGATGCCACAGTACTGAACAATTACTGATCCATCTCAGATCTGACATTTTTTACAAACTTTTTTCAAATGAATAGCTGCTTTGATGTTTTCCAGTCCAGTTTTAGAGCCCACCTCAGCACTGACACTACTCTTATTAAAGGTGAAACATGACATGAGCCTGAACCCTGACAAAACACAGGCAAAATCTCTGTCTTGAGACTTTTAGATCTAAGCGCTGTTTTTGACACTGTTGATCATGGGATCCTCTTACACAGACTAGAGGAGTGAGTGGGTATATCTGGTACTGCATGAAACTGGTTCAAGACCTATCTGGAAGACAGGAAGTACATTGATGAAATTGTGTCTCAGATCAAATGACTCTGACATGCGGGGTGCTCCGGGGTCGATCATGTGACCCCTTTTGTTCAATTTCTACGTCTTGCTGTAAGGCCATTTAATATGCAGCAATATGTGTCCCACAAATGTATGAAAATATATATAGATATATATGCAGAGGGCACACAGATCTGTCTCACTGGCAGCAGGTGAATATGGATCACTGGATTAAATCTGCCACTGCATCCAACAGATCAGTGTGTGGATGCAAAACAACTTTCTCCAGCTAAACTCTGACAAGACTGAAGTCATAGTCTTTGTCCCACAAAAACAAAGAGAAAGAGTCAGCTGCCACATCCAGTCTCTCTCTCTAAAACCTTCAAATCAGGCTGGAAAACTAGGGGTAATAATGCACAGAATACAGAAGGGATTGGCTGCTAATACTGGTTTAAACCTATTTCATTCTAAAGGTTGTAAGAGTTTTTTTTTTTTTGTTTGTTTTGTTTGTTTTGTTTTTTAATTACTTAAAATGCTGCAGATTTCCCTCTTTAAAACAACTGATCTGTTCAGCACCAGAAAGTAAAACTTTAAGTTCTATTCACTCTAGCAAATAAATACACATTAAATTATCGACAAAACCTTAAAAACGTTGTACCAGCATTTTACCTCTTCAGAGGGCCTCCTCCTGTCAGGCAGCACCAGTGTGTTGGCTTGGCTCCCTGGGACTATAGTGGATCCTACGCTCATTCTGGGTCCAACTAACATGTAGCGCTTGTCTCCAGATCTGTACTGGATGCTGTGGCACAGAGTCCCGTCATAGTTTGTGTCCTGTAAGTACTTGGAGGTGTAGTCAGTGCTGGACTTGGAGCACTGCATTGCAATCAGCACAATGATACTGAGAATGAACAGAGCTGAGACCGAGGCCAGAGTTATCATCAGGTAAAAAGTCACGTTAGTGTCCTCAGAGTCTTTAGAGGAGCTCTTAACGTCAGAAGCTGCAAAAGCCTCTCTGGGCTCCACCACTTTCACGAGCACAGTAGCTGTAGCTGACAGGGACACGTTGCCATTGTCTTTGACCAGTATGACGAGTTTGTGCTGCTCGGCCTCGTCTGTCTCTGTGAACGAGCGAAGTGTCCTGATCTGTCCTGTGTAGCGGTCCAACCCAAACAGACTGTGGTCAGTCACTTCCTGCAGTGAAAACAGCAGCCAGCCGTTATATCCGATATCAGAGTCATAGGCCCTGACTTTAGTCACCAAGTGTCCCGCGTTCACATTGCGGGGGATCTCCTCCACTCCTTCAGCAGAACCATTAGACCTGACTGGATACAGAATGACTGGAGCGTTGTCGTTCTGATCCAGGATGAACACGTGCACTGTCGCGTTGCTGCTCAGTGACGGAGTCCCAGAGTCTGAGGCCACGACTTGAAACTGGAAAGACTTTAATGTCTCAAAGTCAAAGCTTTTCAGAGCAGTGATTTGACCATTTTCACTATTAATATTAAGAAATGAAGTCACTTTATGTTCCGCACTTCCATCTCTGTAAATATGATAAGAAATATGAGCATTTTCACCTTCATCTTTGTCATTAGCTTGAACTGAAAACAACTGTGCTCCTGCTTCATTGCCCTCAGTGATATAAAAACTATAAGGTTTAAGGACAAACTCTGGGCTGTTGTCGTTCACATCTGAAATTACAATTAAAATATTCTTTTCAGATTTAAGTGAGGGCTGGCCGTGATCTGTGGCCACTATGGACAGTACATACTGTGACTGTGTCTCTCTGTCCAGAGCAGATTTAGTCACGAGTGAATACATTTTGTCCTGTAGGGAAGGAGACAGTGTAAAGGGAACATCTCCTTCTATTGTACATGTCACTTTCCCGTTCAGACCAGAGTCTCTGTCATTAACACTGATCAGAGCCACAGTAGTCCCGGGCCTAGAGTCTTCAGGAATGGAGCTGGAAAACGAGGTGACTTCAATCTCAGGCGCATTATCATTCACGTCTACTATTTTTATTATTACGTTTTTCTGTGCGGCCAATGGAGCAAACCCTTTATCTGACGCCTCGATTTCGATTTCAACTGTATTTTGTTCTTCGTAATTTATTTGCCCTTTGACTATAATTTCACCTGTGTTGGAGTTAATGTCAAATAAATTTAGTAATCGTTGGTTTACACTGTTACTAAATGAATAAACCACATCTCCGTTTGGTCCTTCGTCTGAATCAGTGGCATTAACCTGTAATACAGTTGTTCCTACAGGCACATTCTCGTTAAGCATCACCGACAAATCACTGCTTGTAAAAACAGGAGCGTTATCATTCACGTCTAATACATTTATAATTATCCTCGTTTGGCCAGATTTTGGAGGTTTTCCGCCATCCATGGCAGTCAGCAAAAGGGAATGTTGTTTTTCCGTTTCTCTGTCCAGCGACTTTTGTACAATTAATGTTGGTATTTTTCCATCGTGTAATTTATCTTTAACTTCTAGTCGGAAATATTCATTTGCACTGAGTTTGTAGTGCTGTATTGAAAACGCCCCACTGTCCAGGTCTCTCGCTGCTTTCAGAGGAATTCCGTACACCAGGTAACACCGACTCTGAAATCTCCAGTGTTGTTTCCAATTCAGGGAAAATTGGCGCATTGTCGTTTATGTCCTGCACCTCCACTCCAACGTAATGCACCTCCAGCGGGTTTTCTAACACAGTCTTAAGATTTATTAAACATGTAGTGCTCTTTTCACACACCTCTTCTCGGTCAATCTTACGGCTCACATACAAATTACCGTCTTTCTGATCCACGTGAAAAAGCGACTCTGCAGCACCGGACACAATGCGATACTTCCTGTCTTTGAGCGCACTCTTGTCCAAACCCAAATCCTTTGCGACATTCCCGACAATGGTTCCTTCTGTAACTTCTTCAGTGACAGAATATCTCAGCTGCGCAGAGGCCATTGTCCACAAAGCTACAGTGAATAGAGAGCTGATGTACCAGCTTTTCGCGCGCCACGATCGTTGTCCCATGATTGCAAAAATAATCCAACAACAGAGAACTGTAAACTGTATTACTATAAAATGGAATCACATTAGTTTAGAAACCTAAACGTTGAACTCCATTAACACAATCTACACCAACCACAGTCAACGTTTTTCTTCCCAACAAAACGTTGAAATGGGTGGAACCGACAATTAAGACCAACCCATAAACTCCGCAATAACCATGTGACAGTGACACCATGCGATATCAATAAAAACTACGTTGATATATTCGAGGTATTTTGTGAAAAAAAAGAAAAAAGAATCCCCATTAACTCAGTTTCACAAGGGAGTCGTTTAAACAATAGACCCATGTCAGCACGTTCGATAGTGAATAGCAGATGAGAATGAAGTGCGTCAACGGAGCCTCTTAGACACGTTTAAGTCACGATATCTAAGGTATTTTGTGTGTGTTTTTACGGGGGGTATGGGTTTTGGGGGGGTTAATTTGCTAAGAAACAGACATGTCTCTTGGTAGTGATAATGAGGGAAAAAAAAAAACACATAATGAAGACTTTTAAATCGGCATTTAACTCGTGGATTATTACAAAAACAACAATCCACTCCACTCGGTGATCACTGTGTAGTTTTGTCTTATGTAGAAGTCCTGTGTACTAATACCGTAAAAAAGTATTTACCTCTTCAGAGGGCCTCCTCCTGTCAGGCAGCACCAGTGTGTTGGCTTGGCTCCCTGGGACTATAGTGGATCCTACGCTCATTCTGGGTCCAACTAACATGTAGCGCTTGTCTCCAGATCTGTACTGGATGCTGTGGCACAGAGTCCCGTCATAGTTTGTGTCCTGTAAGTACTTGGAGGTGTAGTCAGTGCTGGACTTGGAGCACTGCATTGCAATCAGCACAATGATACTGAGAATGAACAGAGCTGAGACCGAGGCCAGAGTTATCATCAGGTAAAAAGTCACGTTAGTGTCCTCAGAGTCTTTAGAGGAGCTCTTAACGTCAGAAGCTGCAAAAGCCTCTCTGGGCTCCACCACTTTCACGAGCACAGTAGCTGTAGCTGACAGGGACACGTTGCCATTGTCTTTGACCAGTATGACGAGTTTGTGCTCGGCCTCGTCTGTCTCTGTGAACGAGCGAAGTGTCCTGATCTGTCCTGTGTAGCGGTCCAACCCAAACAGACTGTGGTCAGTCACTTCCTGCAGTGAAAACAGCAGCCAGCCGTTATATCCGATATCAGAGTCATAGGCCCTGACTTTAGTCACCAAGTGTCCCGCGTTCACATTGCGGGGGATCTCCTCCACTCCTTCAGCAGAACCATTAGACCTGACTGGATACAGAATGACTGGAGCGTTGTCGTTCTGATCCAGGATGAACACGTGCACTGTCGCGTTGCTGCTCAGTGACGGAGTCCCAGAGTCTGAGGCCACGACTTGAAACTGGAAAGACTTTAATGTCTCAAAGTCAAAGCTTTTCAGAGCAGTGATTTGACCATTTTCCGCGTTCACGTTTAAAAAGAGCGTCACGTCCTTCTCCTGTCCTGCACGCGCAATGCTGTAGGAAATATCTGCGTTTTCATTCTTGTCTTTGTCTGATGCAGTTACAGAGAACAGTGACGTCCCTGCCACGTTATTTTCTACAATATAAAAGTACAGAGGATTTTGTTCAAACTGTGGACTGTTGTCGTTTACATCTAATATCTGAATACTCAGAGTTTTAGTGGTGGATAAAGGAGGCTCCCCACAGTCAGTGGCTTTTATAGTTATGTCATAATGTGACACCTCCTCCCTGTCCAGGAAATCCTTAGTGACAACTGAATATGTGTTTTCTTTATACGAGGGTTTGAGTTCAAAAGGCACGTTGTTTGTTATGTGAGCGATGATTTTACCATTGACACCAGAGTCTTTGTCTTTGACGCGAATGAGAGAAACTACTGTCCCTGGTTTGGAGTCTTCAGACACTGTGTTTGACAGAGAAGTCACGTCTATTTCTGGAGAATTATCATTTACATCTATGATTTTTATAATAACTCTACATTCACCTGTTAATGGAGGTGTGCCTTTATCTGACGCTTGCACTTCCAATTCATAGAAATCATTTTCTTCGTAATCGATGTGCCCCTTTACAACAATGTCTCCTGTTTTCGTGTCTAATTCAAAAATATCATAGATTCTTTGCTTTAATATTTTTGCCAGACTATAATCAATTTCTCCGTTTGTTCCTTCGTCTGGGTCTGTAGCTGTGAGCTTAAAAATTGACGTGCCTGTTTGTAGATTTTCTTTCGCTGTAATTTCATAAATCTCTTGACTAAAAACTGGTCTATTATCATTAATATCAAGAACAATAATGGTAACATTAAGTGTGCCTGACCTCTGGGGTTTACCTCCATCAACCGCTGTGACCACTAAAGAATGTTCACTGCTTTTTTCTCTGTCCAGCATTTTTTTCAAAACTAGAAATGGTATTTTTTCACCATTAGTTTCGCGAATATTAATGTCAAAATGTTCATTAGCAGACAAACTGTACGTGCGGACTGAGTTCATCCCTGCGTCAGGATCATGAGCAGAGTGCAGCTGAAATCGTTTTCCAGATAAGGTATGTTCCGCTATTTCTATGGTTTCATTTCTTTTGGGAAAGGTGGGCGCGTGGTCGTTTACATCGGTGATTTCTACAACAACATAGTGAACTTCCAAAGGGTTTTCCACCAGAACCTTCAGCTCCATCAGACACGTACCGCTGCCCTGACACAGCTGCTCTCTGTCAATGCGCCCGTGGACGTACAAAGCGCCATTATCAGAGTTTACAGCAAAAATAGCCTCATTCGTCTCAGAAACAACACGGAACCGTCTCTCATCCAAAGAAGCAGTATCAAGACCAAGATCCTTTGCGACATTTCCAACAACAGTACCGTCCCTCACCTCCTCCGGAACAGAGTATCTGATCTGAGCCAAAACGAATTGCCCAGAAAACAGCAGTAGAGCCGAGCACAAAGCGATCCACGAGCTGATTCCTGGTAGAAAAGATCGTTTAATTCCCATCGTTGTCTACAATGACACCGATATGAAATAGTGGCAATGAAGATGCTGTAGTAAATGCAAAATGTACAGTAACGGAAAAGACATGTGGCCACTCCGCTCCAGTAGAATGGAAACAATAGCTTTTGTAAGAGGAGGGACAAACTTAAGTAGCTGTTTCTATACTGAATAGTGCCACCTTGAGGTCAACCATGATAGATCAGTCACTTATTGTGTCTTAAGCAAAATTGCTAGGGAAAATATTCATATGTAATGTTCAGATAATTAAACCAGGCGCTGTGCATTGAGTTAATGTGAGCCTTGATGAACTCTGGAGTTAGTTTGTGATGTAGAACAGAAAACATCTCTTAATCAGCACCATGGACAGAGACCAGACAGAGAATGAAAATGAAAGAGACCGTGCCGCACTTTTTCACACAGCTTTAGCTCTGAGCACGGAAACTTCCAAGTCACAACAAGATGTTTCCCTCACAAATAGTGCCTTTAAGTTACATTTTCATTTGAGAACAGCCTACAAAACTTGCAAATATCACGTAACAGTGACATCATACAAAATAAATAAAAACTATATTGTTTACATTTTCTGTTCCTGGTATATATATATATATATATATATGCACACTGAGTTCACGTTATATGTCTCAGGTAAGCATGGGTAAACATCATCTTCTTTGTTATTTTCCATTTTAAATCCAATGTCAAAGTTGAATGTAATGCATTTTTGGAAAAATCTGTTTGTATTCTTCTACATAAGCGGAAGAAAATATGTAAAATATTACATACAGAAGTTGGTATTCCTTTGCAAACATGTTGGTTCCAAGTCAAATTTTTAGGTACTATTGTAAAAGATGGGATTCTGATTCCGTTACTTGATGTAGTTAAAACACTTAAAGAAAAGCCGTATCTGTAATTACTATTTTGTGAAAGAGGCTATGAAATATAATTATCATCTGATCCACAAAAGTGTGTTCTAGAGCTTTGAAAGGCCTGCGTACCATGATAAAGAGATTTTTGAATCCACCTGATCTTTATTTTGCACATCAGCACTTTCCCTTTGGGTCATACGCTGGACTAGAGTGGCACAGGCAATTCAGTAGAGATGGTCACGCTTAATACAAATGTCAGTTAGTTACTTGTTCAACCTAATTAGCAGTGCATATTGAAAATGTATTTACCTCCTCAGAGGGCCTCCTCCTGTCAGGCAGCACCAGTGTGTTGGCTTGGCTCCCTGGGACTATAGTGGATCCTACGCTCATTCTGGGTCCAACTAACATGTAGCGCTTGTCTCCAGATCTGTACTGGATGCTGTGGCACAGAGTCCCGTCATAGTTTGTATCCTGTAAGTACTTGGAGGTGTAGTCAGTGCTGGACTTGGAGCACTGCATTGCAATCAGCACAATGATACTGAGAATGAACAGAGCTGAGACCGAGGCCAGAGTTATCATCAGGTAAAAAGTCACGTTAGTGTCCTCAGAGTCTTTAGAGGAGCTCTTAACGTCAGAAGCTGCAAAAGCCTCTCTGGGCTCCACCACTTTCACGAGCACAGTAGCTGTAGCTGACAGGGACACGTTGCCATTGTCTTTGACCAGTATGACGAGTTTGTGCTCGGCCTCGTCTGTCTCTGTGAACGAGCGAAGTGTCCTGATCTGTCCTGTGTAGCGGTCCAACCCAAACAGACTGTGGTCAGTCACTTCCTGCAGTGAAAACAGCAGCCAGCCGTTATATCCGATATCAGAGTCATAGGCCCTGACTTTAGTCACCAAGTGTCCCGCGTTCACATTGCGGGGGATCTCCTCCACTCCTTCAGCAGAACCATTAGACCTGACTGGATACAGAATGACTGGAGCGTTGTCGTTCTGATCCAGGATGAACACGTGCACTGTCGCGTTGCTGCTCAGTGACGGAGTCCCAGAGTCTGAGGCCACGACTTGAAACTGGAAAGACTTTAATGTCTCAAAGTCAAAGCTTTTCAGAGCAGTGATTTGGCCATTTTCACTATTAATATTAAGAAATGAAGTCACTTTATTTTCTGCACTTCCATCTCTGTAAATATGATAAGAAATATGAGCAACCTCTGTGCTCGACAACTCAAGTCATGTGCGGTACCTGTGTTAAACGGACTCATTTCTATTTCATGTATGATTCAGACTTGGCGCTGTGGAGACCTGGCATCGTATGGTTTCTAAATGTGTAATAACCAAGTATCAGTGGAAATCATCAAGTCTCGCTCTTCTCTCAGCTATCTCAGAGCACATGTTAAGGGCTATAGCTGGCGCTCTCCGCCGGACCACTGCCACACGTTACAAGTTTTAGCTCTGAGCAATTAATTTGTTGCTTCCTTTACAAGAGAAAGTTGCAAGTACAAAGAAACACAGTTCAGCACCATGGAGGAAGTATACAAGTTACAGGATAACGCTGCATACTAGATATAAACATGTAAAGAGGCAGGAAACAGTGCACACTGAGTTGATGTTATATGTCTCAGGTGAACATAGGTAATATGGGACACGATTTGAAAATTCATCTTCAGTCTTAGTTTCCATTTTAAACACATGTTGAAGTTGAATATAATAGATTTTTGGAAAGATCTGGTTGTATTCTTCCACAAAAGAAAAGCAAATATTTCCCTGTGGGTCTGGTCTAGAGTGGCACTGGCATTCAGTAGAGATGGTTAAGCTTAATACAAATGTCAGTTAGTTACTTGTTCAACCCAACTATCAGTGCATATTGAAAATGTATTTACCTCTTCAGAGGGCCTCCTCCTGTCAGGCAGCACCAGTGTGTTGGCTTGGCTCCCTGGGACTATAGTGGATCCTACGCTCATTCTGGGTCCAACTAACATGTAGCGCTTGTCTCCAGATCTGTACTGGATGCTGTGGCACAGAGTCCCGTCATAGTTTGTGTCCTGTAAGTACTTGGAGGTGTAGTCAGTGCTGGACTTGGAGCACTGCATTGCAATCAGCACAATGATACTGAGAATGAACAGAGCTGAGACCGAGGCCAGAGTTATCATCAGGTAAAAAGTCACGTTAGTGTCCTCAGAGTCTTTAGAGGAGCTCTTAACGTCAGAAGCTGCAAAAGCCTCTCTGGGCTCCACCACTTTCACGAGCACAGTAGCTGTAGCTGACAGGGACACGTTGCCATTGTCTTTGACCAGTATGACGAGTTTGTGCTCGGCCTCGTCTGTCTCTGTGAACGAGCGAAGTGTCCTGATCTGTCCTGTGTAGCGGTCCAACCCAAACAGACTGTGGTCAGTCACTTCCTGCAGTGAAAACAGCAGCCAGCCGTTATATCCGATATCAGAGTCATAGGCCCTGACTTTAGTCACCAAGTGTCCCGCGTTCACATTGCGGGGGATCTCCTCCACTCCTTCAGCAGAACCATTAGACCTGACTGGATACAGAATGACTGGAGCGTTGTCGTTCTGATCCAGGATGAACACGTGCACTGTCGCGTTGCTGCTCAGTGACGGAGTCCCAGAGTCTGAGGCCACGACTTGAAACTGGAAAGACTTTAATGTCTCAAAGTCAAAGCTTTTCAGAGCAGTGATTTGACCATTTTCACTATTAATATTAAGAAATGAAGTCACTTTATTTTCTGCACTTCCATCTCTGTAAATATGATAAGAAATATGAGCATTTTCACCTTCATCTTTGTCATTAGCTTGAACTGAAAACAACTGTGCTCCTGCTTCATTGCCCTCAGTGATATAAAAACTATAAGGTTTAAGGACAAACTCTGGGCTGTTGTCGTTCACATCTGAAATTACAATTAAAATATTCTTTTCAGATTTAAGTGAGGGCTGGCCGTGATCTGTGGCCACTATGGACAGTACATACTGTGACTGTGTCTCTCTGTCCAGAGCGGATTTAGTCACGAGTGAAAACATTTTGTCCTGTAGGGAAGGAGACAGTGTAAAGGGAACATCTCCTTCTATTGTACATGTCACTTTCCCGTTCAGACCAGAGTCTCTGTCATTAACACTGATCAGAGCCACAGTAGTCCCGGGCCTAGAGTCTTCAGGAATGGAGCTGGAAAACGAGGTGACTTCAATCTCAGGCGCATTATCATTCACGTCTACTATTTTTATAATCACGTTTTTCTGTGTGGCCAACGGAGGCACGCCTTTATCTGATGCCTCCACTTCAATTTCGTATTTATCTTTTTCTTCATAGTCAATTTGTCCTTTTACAAGTATCTCACCTCTTGTGGGATTTATCTCCAGTAGTTTCAGTAATCTTTGACTTACACTGTTACTAAACGAATAAATTACGTCTCCGTTTGCACCTTCATCTAAATCAGTGGCATTAACCTGTATCACGGTTGTTCCAATTGGTACATTTTCATGAAGCATCACCGACAAGTCGCCGTTCATGAAAATAGGTAAATTATCGTTAACATCAAGAACATTAACGGTGATACCAGTGATGCCAGATTTTGGAGGTTTTCCGCCATCTAGAGCCGTCAGCACCAAAGCATGCCGCTTCTCTGTCTCTCTGTCTAACGGTTTTTGTACAATTAATGTTGGTATTTTTCCATCGTCTCCCTTGTCTTTAACATCTAGACGGAAATGCTCGTTTGCGCTAAGTTTGTAATGCTGTATAGAAAATGGTCCACTGTCCAAATCTCTTGCTGCTTTGAGAGGAATCCGAAATCCCGGGAGCACAGACTCTGAAATCTCCAGTGTTGTTTCCGATTCAGGGAAAATTGGCGCATTGTCGTTTATGTCCTGCACCTCCACTCCAACGTAATGCACCTCCAGCGGGTTTTCTAACACAGTCTTAAGATTTATTAAACATGTAGTGCTCTTTTCACACACCTCTTCTCGGTCAATCTTACGGCTCACATACAAATTACCGTCTTTCTGATCCACGTGAAAAAGCGACTCTGCAGCACCGGACACAATGCGATACTTCCTGTCTTTGAGCGCACTCTTGTCCAAACCCAAATCCTTTGCGACATTCCCGACAATGGTTCCTTCTGTAACTTCTTCAGTGACAGAATATCTCAGCTGCGCAGAGGCCATTGTCCACAAAGCTACAGTGAATAGAGAGCTGATGTACCAGCTTTTCGCGCGCCACGATCGTTGTCCCATGATTGCAAAAAATAATCCAATAACTCGAAATTGTTAAAAATCACTATAAAACTTGAAACACATCAATTAGAAACCTAAATGTTGAACTAAATCGAAACAATCCACAACGACCACAGCCAACGTTTTTGTTCACAGCAAAACAGTGAAGTGGGTGGATCTGTAATTCAGGTCCAGCCCATAAACTCCGCAATGACCATGTGACAGTGACACCGTGCGATATCAATGAAAAGTACACTGTTAAGTTTGAGATGAATTGAAAATAATAAACTCAAAAAAAGAGTCGAGAATAAACATCAGCACCTTGGACAACGAATAGCAGGCGCCACTGAAGCGTGTCGACATAACCCGTTAGAACACATTAAGGTCCCAATATGTGGGGTTGATCTGTTATTTAAGAGAGGGTTGTAGTTTTGGGGGGTGCTAATTTCGATAAGTATTTAGTAACAACCAAGGAAAACAACACAATGAGGACTTTAGATCAGCTATTTTTGTCATAACTGAAACAGTGGACATTTTCTTTACCAAAACTAAAATTCACCTCAATGAATTATCACTATGTAATTTGATTATATTTGGAGAAAAACACATTGAATGAAGTTTAGCTTGATTTAAAAAAAATAATAATAATATAGAAAAAGAGAAAAACATACATTCAATACATTTAGAATTATGTGTATGGATCATTTTAAATTGCTGTGAAGAAGATTGTTAAATCAGAGTAGCCACGTGTGTAAGGTACAAAGAAAACGGAGAAGGACTAAATCTTTAAAATGTATTTACCTCTTCAGAGGGCCTCCTCCTGTCAGGCAGCACCAGTGTGTTGGCTTGGCTCCCTGGGACTATAGTGGATCCTACGCTCATTCTGGGTCCAACTAACATGTAGCGCTTGTCTCCAGATCTGTACTGGATGCTGTGGCACAGAGTCCCGTCATAGTTTGTGTCCTGTAAGTACTTGGAGGTGTAGTCAGTGCTGGACTTGGAGCACTGCATTGCAATCAGCACAATGATACTGAGAATGAACAGAGCTGAGACCGAGGCCAGAGTTATCATCAGGTAAAAAGTCACGTTAGTGTCCTCAGAGTCTTTAGAGGAGCTCTTAACGTCAGAAGCTGCAAAAGCCTCTCTGGGCTCCACCACTTTCACGAGCACAGTAGCTGTAGCTGACAGGGACACGTTGCCATTGTCTTTGACCAGTATGACGAGTTTGTGCTCGGCCTCGTCTGTCTCTGTGAACGAGCGAAGTGTCCTGATCTGTCCTGTGTAGCGGTCCAACCCAAACAGACTGTGGTCAGTCACTTCCTGCAGTGAAAACAGCAGCCAGCCGTTATATCCGATATCAGAGTCATAGGCCCTGACTTTAGTCACCAAGTGTCCCGCGTTCACATTGCGGGGGATCTCCTCCACTCCTTCAGCAGAACCATTAGACCTGACTGGATACAGAATGACTGGAGCGTTGTCGTTCTGATCCAGGATGAACACGTGCACTGTCGCGTTGCTGCTCAGTGACGGAGTCCCAGAGTCTGAGGCCACGACTTGAAACTGGAAAGACTTTAATGTCTCAAAGTCAAAGCTTTTCAGAGCAGTGATTTGACCATTTTCCGCGTTCACGTTTAAAAAAGAGCGTCACGTCCTTCTCCTGTCCTGCACGCGCAATGCTGTAGGAAATATCTGCGTTTTCATTCTTGTCTTTGTCTGATGCAGTTACAGAGAACAGTGACGTCCCTGCCACGTTATTTTCTACAATATAAAAGTACAGAGGATTTTGTTCAAACTGTGGACTGTTGTCGTTTACATCTAATATCTGAATACTCAGAGTTTTAGTGGTGGATAAAGGAGGCTCCCCACAGTCAGTGGCTTTTATAGTTATGTCATAATGTGACACCTCCTCCCTGTCCAGGAAATCCTTAGTGACAACTGAATATGTGTTTTCTTTATACGAGGGTTTGAGTTCAAAAGGCACGTTGTTTGTTATGTGAGCGATGATTTTACCATTGACACCAGAGTCTTTGTCTTTGACGCGAATGAGAGAAACTACTGTCCCTGGTTTGGAGTCTTCAGACACTGTGTTTGACAGAGAAGTCACGTCTATTTCTGGAGAATTATCATTTACATCTATGATTTTTATAATAACTCTACATTCGCCTGTTAATGGAGGTGTGCCTTTATCTGAAGCCTCTACGTTCTAATTCATAATGAATCAGTTTTCTTCATAAGTCTATTGGGCCTCTAGTGACAATTTCTCCTGTTTAATCGTGTTTAATTTCAAATGTTTTATAAATATCGTTGCTTCAATGTTTTCCCCGAGACTATATTCAATTTCTCCATTTATTCCCTTCGTCCGCATCTGTTGCGTTTAACTTAAATATTACATTTCCTTTCTCCAAATTTTCTTTCACTGTGAATGTTCATAAACCTCTTGAGTAAAAACTGGTCTATTATCATTACTGTCCAAGAACAATAATGGTAACATATTCAGTGTCCCTGACCTCTGGGTTTACCTCCCCATCAACCGCTGTAAGGAGCAGAAGAATGTGTGCTGCTCTGTTCCCTGTCTAAAGGTTTTTTTAAATTACCAGAAACGGTATTTTTTCACCAAGTCACTTTGTCCGAATATTAATTTCAAAATGTTCATTTGCAGACAAACGTGTACGTGCGGATCGAATTTGTTCCTGCGTCGGGATCATGTGGGCAGGGTGTAGCTGAAATCGTTTTCCCTGGCAAAGTGTGCTTCTCCAATTTCAAACGTTTGATTTGTTTTAGGGAAATCTTGGCGCGTGGTCGTTTACATCAGTAATTTCTACAACCAACATAGTGAACTTCCAAAGGGTTTTCCACCAGAACCTTCAGCTCCATCAGACACGTACCGCTGCCCTGACACAGCTGCTCTCTGTCAATGCGCCCGTGGACGTACAAAGCGCCATTATCAGCGTTTACAGCAAAAATAGCGTCATTTGTTTCAGAAACAACACGGAACCGTCTCTCACCCAAAGAGGAAACATCAAGACCAAGATCCTTTGCGACATTTCCAACAACAGTGCCGTCCTTCACCTCCTCCGGAACAGAATATCTGATCTGAGCCAAAGCGCACTGCCCAAAAAACAGCAATAGAAAAGAGAACAAAGTGATCCACGAATATTTTCTCTGAACAAATGGTTTCTTCATCTCCATTATTTTTCATAAATTCATTTATCCGTGATGACAGTTTTTGAAGTCACTAAAAAGCCAAATATCCAAAGTAAAGCCTTAGACAAACGAACACAGTACCCTCAAGTCAAACCGAAACAAAAGGATCTGAAAGAGGAGGTACGATGTGGCGCAGGGCTTTTCACATGAAATAGCGCCACCTAATGATCAAGTAGAGCTCTTAGGTCAGAGGAAATATACTTTACAAATATCCCACTGCTACATTTACTGTCTACTGCATTGTTATATTTGAAATACTGCATTCTTATATTTGAAATCCCAACATAGGTACATAGATTGCTTCTAGAAAACTGGATTTTACACCAAAACGTCACCTGTGCAAGGTCCACTGTAGTTGATAAACTTCCAAGAAAGGACCCAGAAAATACTGTATTTTACAAACGTATCCAGTATCCTATGAAACCACTGTCAAAGAACACTGAAGTACTTGAACTCACAACCGGCCCCTAATTACATGAGGTAAGTACAAACAGCAGAGGGCAGGAGAAAGAGAGTGTGTGCAGAACTCTGTCTAATATCAAATTCAAATTTAATCTAAAACCATTATCATTATTTCAGCACCATTAGGCTTATAACACTTTCATAAACAGCTTTGAAGAATAGACAAAATTAAATTTTTATCCAACCAAAATATGTTTTACAGATTTTTGTATTATTTACTTATTTTTACATTTGGATACCATTCCATTACCCCAGCCCAAGTGCTGGTTATTTGTCATTTGCTCTCTGAAACAGCGGTAATCACTATTTTAAAACAAAAAGGTGGAAAACATATAAGTAGTTGCATTGATATTGAATATATGTTGAGTCAGCATGGCGAGAAACAACATGATAATTACACTGACAAAAATCTTTTTTCAATTTTCCGACCAAATATTCCCCTAAGCAATCTACAGTATTAACCTTGTTGATGCTGCTATAGATTCCTAAGATTTGTTATAAGCAAAGACATAGCAACCGCAGTTTTACCTGTGTACAGTGGAGTACATTACTGATGGTTTATATTACTTAATATGTTTGTTATGTATAAACACGGTTCATTACTTTGTGATCTTACCTCTTCAGAGGGCCTCCTCCTGTCAGGCAGCACCAGTGTGTTGGCTTGGCTCCCTGGGACTATAGTGGATCCTACGCTCATTCTGGGTCCAACTAACATGTAGCGCTTGTCTCCAGATCTGTACTGGATGCTGTGGCACAGAGTCCCGTCATAGTTTGTGTCCTGTAAGTACTTGGAGGTGTAGTCAGTGCTGGACTTGGAGCACTGCATTGCAATCAGCACAATGATACTGAGAATGAACAGAGCTGAGACCGAGGCCAGAGTTATCATCAGGTAAAAAGTCACGTTAGTGTCCTCAGAGTCTTTAGAGGAGCTCTTAACGTCAGAAGCTGCAAAAGCCTCTCTGGGCTCCACCACTTTCACGAGCACAGTAGCTGTAGCTGACAGGGACACGTTGCCATTGTCTTTGACCAGTATGACGAGTTTGTGCTCGGCCTCGTCTGTCTCTGTGAACGAGCGAAGTGTCCTGATCTGTCCTGTGTAGCGGTCCAACCCAAACAGACTGTGGTCAGTCACTTCCTGCAGTGAAAACAGCAGCCAGCCGTTATATCCGATATCAGAGTCATAGGCCCTGACTTTAGTCACCAAGTGTCCCGCGTTCACATTGCGGGGGATCTCCTCCACTCCTTCAGCAGAACCATTAGACCTGACTGGATACAGAATGACTGGAGCGTTGTCGTTCTGATCCAGGATGAACACGTGCACTGTCGCGTTGCTGCTCAGTGACGGAGTCCCAGAG